CTGTGTAGGGGGCAGGGAACTGTCCTTGCATCAGAAAGGTCCTTGGTACGAAACTCGGGCAAGGCATGGATGTTTCTTTCTCTCTCTGTGTGTTCTATGTCCTTCTTCCTTTGTGTGTGAATGTGACCCGCCCTATAAACGGGTTGTGGTTGTGTGAATGGCGTGGCAGAAGTCGAATTCCTGGCCATAGATGGCGCCACTGAAAAACAGGAACAATTGCACCCCCACTGCCTAAGCAGGTATACGACAAAAAAAATTATTAATGATTTGCTTTTGAAAATTAAAGAAATTCTAATCATGAATAACTGTTTCTATTGTATCTAAATAACTGTAAATAAGTGCAAATTTAAAAAAAATAATTGCTTGGAAGTGAGTCGTGTTAGGAGGTTTTTACCTTTAACGCAGAACAAGACACAGGTGTTGCATGCTGTATTTCATAATCGTAAAATATTAAAAGGGTAAATATAATATTTTTCACTTATTTTGATCTAAATTAATTCAAAATAATGAAAAAAGTATGAAAAATATGTTAAATAAAAATTCTGCGTCAAAGGGTTAAAAGATAACGAATAAGATAAGCTTTATTGCAAATATCATTAAAACTTATTGATTCTTGAAAATCGCTTTAAATTCTGAAATATTCTTTTTTGAATGGAAGGTTAAAAAAAAAATTGGTTTGCAATTGTATCAACATTTTTACTAAAATACGTAGAAATTAAATCAAGCTAATCTGCAGTCAGTATTTAAATTGAACTAATTTCTTGTTTTACAGCATATCCATTATTTACACTACATAAATAAAATATTTAGTATCTAAAACAAAGATTTTCAGTTTGTGCAAAAATGTTTTAGTTTTGGGCTTCACATTCTATTATAGAATGTATGGAGAGTACAGTAAATTTCCTCTCTGATGGACAGTTCAATTCCTTTTTACTGTAAAAAGGAACATTATATTATGTGATATCGGTAACATGTTAAGGTGTTTCTGTTTGATAATAGTTTGCGGCTTAATACAAAAAAATATTATTGTTTACAGCAAATTCTAAAAAAATTATTTTCATTTATGCACTGAGATGAAAAAAGGGCTCCGTAAAAGATAGCTTCCGTAGAAATAGCTTCAAAATAAATAATAGTCGAATTTGAAAATTCCGTGTACTCATTATTGAGTATAGTGACTTGCTCAAAACAGCTTATGCTCATTTTCGAGACTATGCCCAATTCGTCCAAATTTCATTGATGATAGGTCTCAAGATGTCATTGATTGACGCATCATGCATCAAATGTCATCATGGGTAATTTTTGAGACTATGCTTAATCCGTCCGAATTTCATTGATGATGTGTCTCAAAATGTAATTGATTGACGCATTATGCATCAAATGTCATCATGGGTAGTTTTTGAGACTATGCATTTTGCTCAAAAAGGGGTATGAGTTTAGAGCATGTTACTATACTCAGAGGTTTTCAGACTACAAAATTAATTGTTTTCGAGCGATTTCGCCATATTTTTGGTAAATTTTGAGAAAATTATTTTATTAAAACCTGAGAAAAACCTTTGTTATCAAATTATTTTTTTATGTTATAAAAATTGTGAATCTTTGGTAGAAAAATTTATTGAAATCATTACACATACGAAAGTTTTTAGTTTAACCAGAGAATTTAATTGCTTTCATATAATAGGCCTAAGTGAACAGGTTTGAGTGGATATTACTGCCTGTCGCATATGCAGGAGTTTTTTTTTTTTTTTTAAATAAACGATTGTTGTAGTCATAGAGCTCAACTTATTAATGAATATGAATATGGGAACATATGTATTATGCTTTATTGAAAATATTTTGTTCTATTTCAAGTTTTAACGAAATCAGCAGCATTTTCATATAAAGGACTTGGATTATTATAGTGATAAGTGTTTTTATAAAGGTGACGTCAAACAATTCCTTAACCTTGTTTCCAGAGAGGTTCAGTATTAGCTTCCGTCTGGAATTTCCATTACATAACGGCCTAATTAAAGGAACATCTAATTGCCTACGTGTAAATTAAAGTGTTTTTCATCAAAAACATACTTCTAAACAATTTAAAAACGAGGCTTATCATTATATTGCCCAAATTCTTTCATCTGTAAAAGCAAAAATAAGTAAAAACTCGGTTACTTCCTATTAATAACGATATACTTTAAGGGAATGATTGATATTATTTGGTATCCTTAGAGAAGGCTTATGCGGCTTTGCTTTTTATATTAAAACAATCGTAATAGCCGCTGTCGTTTCGGATCTTCACCTTGACGTTATAATTTGTTCTGTTGTGCAAAAATTATAGGATTTAAATACTTGAAAATATGAAGGTATACAGAAAATTGTAAGGAAGATATAATGGAATAAAAAATTTAAACATTCGAGTATTATTTACTGTTAAGCTTAAAAGGAGCTTTGAAAGGGTCATATTTTTAGTAAAATTAAAGCTGAGTATTTTTTTAAAAAAAACATTCCTAAGTGTTTGAAAGTGTTTGCTATTAAAAAAAGCATTTTTCACATATTTTGTTTCAATTTTTGCTTAAAGTAAAAACGTATATCCATTGTTGCTACAGAAGTGGTAAATTTACGACATTTGTTCATTCATTTTTGTAGAAATTTAAAAATTGGGTTGCCATAATACTGACATAGGTTTACCACAAATGTCATTATTCAACTCATTTAGTAAGAATAATTATTTTAGATAATTATTATTATTGCACTTCCTTCAAAGCACTACAGTTAAAAAGAAAATAATGAACAAGTTTGTGTTCAAGAGAAAGTTATAGAAAATGAGATAGAGAAATAATTGATTTTTTCTTTAAAAAAAAGCTTCCATGTCAGGAAAGTCATGAATGTTTGGATTAATGCTTTTACAGTATTACAATGGTGAGTATTACAAAGATTTCTGCGTAGAAATTATAGGAGTTAGGAAATGAAGCGAACAGGAAATAGAGCCTCTAGATTATAAAATTGTCTACGATATTGAAAGCGCATTAAATAAACAACCCATCTCCAAAACTAATAGGAAAATGTGCAATTTTATGGTGAAACATTGACTTTCCAATGATTGATGATGTGACATGCATAAAAACGATTAAAAAGACCTCCATTAAGTTGAACGGTCACATAGAATTCTATAACAGAAGATAAATTTGTCTCAAGAGGTTAATATGGGGAAATAGTCACTAACAAAATTTGGGCATCAATAAGGAAATTATTTCTTTCTTTTATATTTTTCAACCCAATAAAAGGTTTGAATACGACACCAATTAAAGATCTCGTATACAATGCGATTACCTATATTTTTGTAATTTTGAGAAAAACGCAAAATATATTTACCATCAAATATTTCAAGTTTGAAAACTTTTACCTAGACATTATTTGAGCAGAAATAAAGGTCTAGCTGTACTGAGAAAAAAAGTATGGTGGAAGCTACGAGAATTTGGGTAGTGTTTATTGTTCTTAGGGAACACCAGAACCCTAGGTAATTTAATTTTTACCGAAACACTTTGGTCATGTTTTCAGTAAAATTAACAATAAAATAAGGTTATGCAAAAAAATTTGGTTATAGTATCATGATACCTTAGGGCATGGCATAAAAACCATTTATTCGGTCAAATTTAATTTTTAGTCTTCTTTTTTTTACTAAATGTGAGGTAATAAGAATTATAATTTCGAAAATCAGAATTTCTGTTTTGCTGTTATTAAATGAACGAAAAAATTACCAAATTAATGGTTTATCAACCATATATTTCAGTTTTAAGGAGAATAAATTTTTCTTTAACACGTTGAATGCCATGAGGGTCACCGGTGACCGGCACCGAGTTTGTTCGTAGCTCCACGGGGGTCACCGGTGACCGGCGATTATTAGAAGCACATAATTCGAGTAAATTTTTAATGCTTTTAATTTTTTAAATAATTATCGTTACTAAAATGGTTTGAAGAAATTAATGCAATATAGAACACACAAAAATAGTTTAACATATATAACATGCAACCTTAACACGTTGAATGCCATGGGGGTCACTAGTGACCGGCGAAGCTAAGATTATTAGAAACACATAATTCGAGTAAATTTTAACGGATACAATTAATATATTGAATTTCTTCTTTCTCGTGAAAAACTTAATAGCCATAAACTGTTTACTGTTTAGAATAGATTCACTTCTCCTGAAAATAATCTATCATTGAAATAGTTCTACTACCAGTGGTTTCGCTATTCCATCTCGCACTCAGGCCTGACAAGAATTAGTAAATAAAATAACAGTGCCTTCCATCGCCGTGGGGGTCACCGGTGACTTCAGTGAATTAAAGGCTCACGAATGATTGCAAACATTAACTGTTTTGTTGTAAATAATATTTCATCAAAATATGCAACGCATACTGAGAAAATCATTTTGGCCAGACGGGCAAGCCATGTAAAATTAGCGTGGCATTAAACTTGTTAGCAGAGATGTCATTACCATACATTACGGTAATTTTACCAGAAAGTGACATTTTTATACTATGTAGTTCATCATTTTTCACTCAGAAATATTCAGTTTATTGATTCATTTGGTGAAAACAAGTCTTGACTTTGTTAATTACAAAAATAAACAGGCATAAAAGTTCTTGAAATCGATTACTGAACACGATTAATTAAAATAATTATTTTATTTTAATAACTTTTGAAAAAGTCGGTAGAAAATATTTAAACTATGAAAAATAACTTTTTTTTATTTTGTCTGAAACTTTTCATATCAGCAAATACGTACGTACTTGAAGTATAACAACTCAAACACAAATAATTCTATATATTTTAAATCAAATCAAGTAAAAAAAGCTCTCGGTCAAAAATACACTAGTTTAAACCATTGTTTCAGTTTAACGCCATCTCTTCGTTGTGATATATTAGACATAATATCCTCTACATAATTCAGCGAAAAACGTTTTCAGTAAAATAATTTTCATTTTATAGCTTTCTTCTGTTATCAGAGGAAGTAGGTAATGGAACTCCGTGATGCAATCAATGTTGAGAAACACCAGCCGAGAGTAGTGCGGCCTGTTGCTTTCCGATATTCACGCATATAGTTTTTCGTCCTGCGGTTGCGAGTGAGACATTTGTTTATATTTATTTGATGTTTAGATGAATAGTTCGTTATCAACTTAGCCCGTGGATTTTAAAAGCGTTTATCAAAGTTTTGTAAAATATGTAAATCTATTTGCAATTTGTGAAAATGGCAAATTAGCAAAAATTATTCAAATCTGACTGAATATCTAGCCCTCCGATCAATACTTCATCTGTAGTTTGAAGATATCTAGGTTCAAGCTGTTTTATGTTTATAAACATTTATTTGATGTTCTGATGAAGAATTGTTCCATGGATACATTTTAAAAGTGTTTGTCCACATTGTGGAATGAATTTAGATTTGTTTTTGACAAATGAAAATGGTGTCTTAAGCAAAAAATCATTTAAATTTGACTGAATATCTAGATTCTAACATTATCTAGAATGTAGTTCTCCGATACATACTATATCTGTATTCTGAAGATATCTAGATTTAATCAGCTCTATGTTAATCTACATTTATTTCATGTTCAGGTAAAGAATTTGTTGTCAACTTAACCAGTGGAATACTTTTTAATAGTGTTATTCTAAATTTTGGAATATATTTAGATCCATTTATAACATGTGAAAATGTCGTCCAAGCAAATGCTATTTAAATCTGGATTCTAAAAATAACTAGAATCCAGCCCTATGACAAATATTACATCTGTATTCTAAATATATGACAATTAAACCGCCTTATGTTCAGATTATTATTTGATGTTCACATGAGCAATTTTTCGTAATTCCTGTGGATGTGTTTTAAAAGCATTTATCAAAACTTCGGAACATATTTAGATCCATTTGTATCATGTGAAAATGTAATTAAAGCAAAAATGTTAAAAATTTGACTGAATATCTAGAATAAGTACAAGCCATCTTTTATTAACATACATTTGATGCTCATATGAAGAACTGATTGACAACTTAACCTAGAGAAACATTTTATAAAGTGTTTATCACAATTTTGGAATATATTTAGACTTGGTTACAACAAGTGAAAATGGCGGCTAGGTAAAATTTTGATACTGTATAGTGCGTTAATGCGTATGATAATGTCTAGAGAAATAATGCAGTGGCATAAATTCCGCATTTGGTGAAAAAATATTTTTTAACTCTATAAACTTATGAAATATTTTAAAGTAAGCTACGTAAATATAAAAAAAAAGCCATCAAATTTGTACGTCATCGAAAAACGTCATCAGAAAACGTCCTCAAATTTGTAAATTCATTAATTATTCATAAATTAGTGATAATTAATGATCCTCAAATATCATTAGTAGAAGCAAAAAAAAAAAAATTACTTTGAAAATAATTTACCGGCAGTAGCATTACACAATGAATGTCTATGGAATTAACGTATTTTTATCTCTGTTCACACTTGCTTTAGGCATAAATTTTGACGAAGACAATGACATCGCCAGCAAAAACTGCAGTGAACTGCTTCCAGGTTGCGATTGTTATGATCTTGAGACAATTGGTATTATACAGGTGAAGTGTTGGAATGCCACGGAACTGTTTAATACTAGTTACTTGATGGATGGATCAATATTTGGAGTGAATGAGACTTATGAAATCATAGTGGAAGGGGGAGTATCAGCCCTTCCACCCAGAAGTCTTGAAGGGTTGATTGTCTACAGACTCATTTTAGATGATCCTGGCATACTGGATATTCACGAGGATGCGTTTGAAAATGTGCTTAGATTGAGAAGATTCCATGTGCGCGGCAGTTCTCTTAAGGTAATCTATTTTTTTGTTTTCTATTATTGAATCTTCACTTGGGAAGTTCTATAAAAAATTGAAAAATAAGATAGAAAAAAGTGCTAATTAATAATTTGAAAAAATTGTTAAAATATGTGTGTTTAAGATCATGTAAGAATAAACTTTAAGCATTGAACATTCTCTGTTTGTTTTTTTAAAAACAGTATAGAATATCATTAGGTATTTTCCAAAATAGATCAATATTTACAGTTGTTTTTAAGTGGAAGAAGAAANTTGCTTTAGCCATAAATTTTGACGAAGACAATGACATCGCCAACAAAAACTGCAGTGAACTGCTTCCAGGTTGCGATTGTTATGATCTTGAGACAATTGGTATTATACAGGTGAAGTGCTGGAATGCCACGGAACTATTTAATACTAGTTACTTGATGGATGGATCAATATTTGGAGTGAATGAGACTTATGAAATCATAGTGGAAGGTGGAGTATCAGCCCTTCCACCCAGAAGTTTTGAAGGGCTGATTGTGTACAGACTCATTTTAGATGATCCTGGCATACTGGATATTCACGAGGATGCTTTTGAAAATGTGCTTAGATTGAAAAGATTCCACGTGCGCGGCAGCTCTCTTAAGGTAATCCATTTGTTTGTTTTCTATTATTGAATCTTCACGTGGGAAGTTGTATAAAAAATTTAAAAATAAGATAGAAAAAAATTTTAATTAATAATTTTAAAAAATTGTTAAAATATTTGTGTTTAAGATCATTTTATAATAGGCTTTAAGCATTGAACATTCTATGTTTTTTTTTAAGTATAGAATATCATTACGTACTTTTCAAAATGGATCAATATTTATGTTTGTTTTTAAATGGAAGGAAAAAGAAGCAAGAAACTATTATAAGATGAAGTCCAAAACATTTTGTTGTTTTCAGTTTTTTTTAGTTTTGAAAGGAAGGAAGAAAATTACTTTTCGAAAGAAATTTCTTGAAATGACATAGTTACGTTTTCTAACAACCGCTTCTTGTAATACGAATAAAAAAAACGTTCGAAGCAATTAAAAAAATTTAAAAAGTACGACTTTTTTAGTTCACTCTAATGATTATTTTGAAAAATATTAATCGCTGTTGCTTATTGAAACTTAAATGAATAGTTCCTGAGAAATCGAATTTTAAACAACGACTTTTTCAAAATTAGATTTCACAAGAACTATTCGATCGATTTCACTCAAATTATGTAATTTGCTTTGTAAAATTACATTTTTTAAAAGGAAATTTTTAAATTCAAAAGTTTTGTCTTATTGTTAAATTAAATAATAAAAGTTATAACTAAAAACTGTTTTTGCATGGATTTATCTTTGGATAAGCATCCCAAGTGCCCGCCATTAAAAAAAAAACTTTGAATAATCGAATTTTATAATAATGGGAAATTTTTTTTTTAATTCGCCTAATAAGTTATGGATTTATGGCAAAATGAGCAAAAAGTATTAATTTTAAGGGGTCCAAATTTTGAACCGTTCTCCTAGCCAAACTATTAGGACCATATTTTTCAGATTGCTGCTACCCCCTACATTTTGAGAGACAGAAAACTACATCCGTCAAAAAAAAAGTATGGTTATTTAGAGAAAATACGTTTTTGTGTCTGATTTAATATTTAAAATATTATCTCTACACTGATTAGTTAGCATATTTGGGGTCAACTCCTCGAACCATTAAGATTGAGTCCTAGAACATGAAGATCTGATTATGACATCAAAAGTTATTTAAGTTGTTTATTTTCTTATTTATTTATTTATTGTTATTATTATTTTTTTTTGCATAGTACATTGGTTTGATTCATTCTTTTTGTTTCCTATTTATTTTCATTAATTTTTATATATTAGTGGAGAGTTTTTATACGATTCGGCAAGCCAATGAAATCTGTGTTAAACTTGCTTAATGTCCGACATTCTACTCCATAATGATGTAAAAATGGTTAACGTAAAATTAAATAAGTTTATATTTTTTAATATTAGCTACTAAAGTTAAAAAAATATCATAATTCCTTTATTATAGATTAAAATTAGAAGCTTTACTAGTATAAAGTAGACAGTATGTTTTGTTCCTCTTAGGAATGGAGTAATGGAGCGTGCTTTCAGTTTTTGGACTATGCAGCAGTAGTAGTTTAATATTCATTTCTTTAAATTCCTTTAATATTCAAAATTAATTATAATAATTTTAAATTGAGAAAATTAGTTGTTGTTTTTTTAAAGATATTTGAAATAAATAATTTTTTGCCTCTTTTTAGAAACAGTTTAAAATCATTAAAATTTCATTTTTACAGTACTCTCTTGTTTTTAAAAGAAAGTTCAAGTTCTTGGTATTGAATCGAAGTGGATTTTTAGCGTTTTATATTTTTTATACTGTATATTCGGTTGTTTAATGATTTGGAATTTTTAAATTTCCCCCCGATTTTTGGTGTAAACACTTGATGCTCATTATGTGGGGAGGGACAAACAATCTTGTCATTCAAAAGTACACAGAGAAAGAGTTCTGGAGAAATTTCGGTGCTATCTGGTAATAACATTTCTGGTAAAAAAACATAATTCTGATTAATAAAACCAAAATATACGGTATTTATACCATTTAGTTGGTAATTTTTTCGTTCATATGGTGAAAGCTCACGGAAAATCGAAATTACAGTTTTTATATCCACAAAATTATTATTTAATAAAAATTTCAGAACTTAAAGTGACAAATAAATAGTTTTTATGCTATGCTCTAGGGTATCATGATAAAACTACCTAATTTTATCATACATTACAAAACCCTATTTTATTGTTAATTTTGCCAAATTCATTCCCAGAGCTCTTGGGTAAAAATAACCGATTTTTTGAAATTCCCATAGACCCAGATAGGCGGTGAATTTTATCATATTCTTGCAAATTTGACCATACTTTTTTTCCCAGTGTAAAACAAAGCGTTTAAATCTATATCTTCATTTCCACGATTTTTTTTATAACTGTAGCCTTTTTTTAAAGATAATTTTTTTATACTATTTAGAAGTACTTATTTGTGGAGCCTTTATGTGATGATGCATGTATTTTTATAGTACCCTTATTAATTTATTTAGTCACTTCTGCGAATTATTTTATAGGGTTTATTTCTTTTATACAATAACAATATAAAATTCTTATTATATAAAGGTTGCCAAATGAACTGCAATATTTTATTATCAAAGAGGTTTCTGTATAAATATTGTTGTCATATTTATGCAGAAACCTCATCTTTATATATTTGTTCTTTGAAAAAAACTATTACTCTATTTGTGAGCTGCCTTTGCAATATGTTTCTATTTCACGCGATGAAGCTTTTCTCTTTGTTAAACTAACCTTGAACTCGGGAAGTCTTACAGCGTCGTTGCCATACAGTAATGAAAAACTATAAATAAACAAAAAAAACGAGTACCCTGAATAACTTATGATCTAATGGCATATGTTCTTCATACATTAGAATACAAAATTTGTGTTTTTTAAAGTGGCTCAGAATATGATTAGTTATTAGTGCTTGCTCTTTAATGGTTTACGAAATCAAAAAGGCGTACCATATTTGAATGCATTTCGTATTTCTTTTTTATGTTTTTAACACATGAATTAAAGAAATTCATTACGGGGTTTCCATAATTAATGTCAGTCTCAACATGTGGTTTTTATGAACTTTCGAAAAATCTGTTAAGAGCATATAGATCAAATTTTAATTACATTTACTTATTTATGTATTCATCACATGTGGAATTAGACTTATGTTTTATTTTCACTTAAACAGAAAAATGATTAGGTCTTACATCTTAAAAAATTTATTATCTAATAAATGTAGAATGCTTATCAATTAACATCCGCCGTTTCGAAATCTAATGATTCATCATTTCGTTCTTAAGTAACTCTTCGTAGCTCTTTCCTCAATCTAATGGCTCATTTTGAAGTATCAAACACAGAGTCAATTCAAACTTTTAATAATAATTCAAATACTATGTATCTGCTTCGTACAAGCGAAATATCTTGAATGTTTCTAATCTGTATCTTGTATTAATTAATGAATAAACCAAGCGATTTAGGAAAAAGAAATTTTAGAAAATAATGTAGTACGAATAATATTTGTTATAAAAATAGGCATTTTTTATGTTTTTGAAATCTTAAAATAAAATAAAATAATACAGTTCTATATTTAAGATATAAAATTAATCATTCTCTACTTTACCGACCTGTACTTGTACAAGCTTAGTGATTGCATTAGGAAACCTTCGGAGTGCATGTTTACTCTATTGGTTAGCACAGGAGGGGGGGGGGTAAGACATAGAAACACCCCAAAGACGATTTTCACGTTTTCTACCTTCACATAACATTAGTTTTTTTTCTTCTCATTTTTATATCACTGTTTTGTTCTGTTACCTTCAATAACTAATATTGTTTGACTTAGGCGTAGTGTAGCTTAATTCGCATTCTTACTCACGTACAGCTTATTTAGTTATCGTTTCTGGAATAATTGTCCCGAAAAAAAAAGTATACATTAGGCTTCAAAAATTAACAATTCAAGCGTGGAAAAAAATCATCGTAGCCTGAGAAATAATTAACATCTCTTAACTTATTAGAAATACCCATAATCATTAGAAAGAACGAATCCGAGACCATCGCCTATAATTATTTAGTGTAGCCCTTGTTCGACGTTAGCAATAAAATTATAGAATACTTTTATGAATAAAGTAAAATGGCGTGAAAAAAGCACAAACCTTTACACGTTATGTATCTTTATTTGTGACTTATACACATTTTTTTGCTTTAATGCAAACAGTGTGAATTAAGCATAATTCAAGGCACTGAATACGTGAATGTTTTGCTTTATTTATACGTAGCACAAAGTATACCCTATCCTTATTCGATATACTTTTGATGATTACCAAGAACGAATCTGAGACCATCACAGATAGTTAATTAGTGTAGCTCATGTGTGACGTTTACAATTAAATCACAGAACACTCTTATGAATGA